AGGGGCCGTCGGCGCTGGACTGAGTAACTCCAGTTATGGGGACCGCGGCAGAACTGGGCTGTCTGTGCGGGCGGAAGGGCCTGGCCCCGCCCCTGGAGTCCTGGGGTCTGGGGTAGATCTGTCCCACCTGGATCTCCGCGGGGCATCGAGGCGCTGGCAGGCCGAGCCCCGCGACTCCCAGTCACTGTGGGAGATGGTGGAGGAGCACGTTCCCCTCGCTGAGCGGCCTGAAGTGAAGAGGATTCTGGGGGAGGCGGCGGTGGACCTGAGCCTGGAGCTGCGGGCCGAGGTGGGGAGTGGGAGGGGCCACGCCTAGGCTTGCCCGCGGGACGTCCCACCTGCCGGCCCCAGGCCCTGCTGGGTGACCCTCGAGAACTTGTCTCACTCTTCCCTTGGCCTATCTTGTTTAGTTCTGCCCTTCCCCACCACGCCCGTCCTCTCCCTGCCCAGGCACAGTGTCCCAGCTCTGCCTTGCAGGTTGCGATGCTGCGGGCACTGCTCCAAGAATCGCGGTCCTCCCAAGTCCCCGACTCTCACCCCATCTCTGATCCTTCCTCCCTTCTGGCACCACCGCCCCATCTGAGAGACCTTGTGCGCCAGGAACTCCGGCAGCTCCTCCAATGTCTCCGGCAAAAGGCCATCCGCGAGGGAAGGTGGGAACCTCAGTCCTGGGCCCCTTCCCCAGACATCAGATGTGCCACCGGTCTCTGACAGGGGCTCCTGTGTCCTTCGTGTGCGCCTTCTGCAGGGACCAGGCCCAGGCATGGGCCCAGTATAGCCCCAGGGTCCTCCACTTTGCCTTGGAGGAGTCCAGGTGTGACTTGCCAGAACAGGTGTTCCACAGGAGAGCTGGTGAACCCAGGTGAAGTGGTGGTAGAGGAGGAGGGATCTATCTCTACTTGGTCTTAGCCAACTGGTGGGTTCCACCTGTCTCCACGGGGTGGGGGGAGGCTTGCCTTTTTTTTTTTTTTTTTTTTTTTTTTTTGGTGCCGGTTTAGCTTTGGCG